CTGCAGAGCACATATAGCCTAACACCAACAACGGCCTGCAGAGCACATATAGCCTAACAGCAGCAACGGCCTGCAGAGCACATATAGCCTAACACCAACAACGGACTGCAGAGCACATATATCCTAACAGCAACAATGGCCTGCAGAACATATATAGCCTAACAACAAAATCAACAACAGCCTGCAGAGCACATATATGGGTTTGTCTATTGACTATTTTTTCCCATTAGAATATCAGCTCCAGAAAAGAAAGGCATGGCAGTGTGTCTCTTTCACACACTGCCATGCCCCAAGCAATTAGCCTAATGTCTGGCACATAGAAGACACTCAACAGATATCTACTGTCTGAATGAATCTGTTAAACGCTTTTATTTCCCTCTAATCTACCTAAAATATTATTTTCAGATTTTTATTCTGTTCCCTACAGAGATGAACTTAAGTGTGATCACTGAAGAGATGACTGCCCAGAGCTCAAGGTTGCTGAGTGCTTGCTCTGTGGAAGCCGAAGGATGCACCCTATTTTGGAGGTGCTGTCTGCCTCAGCACAGCTCTGGTGCTGAGCCTTCTCTGTGTAGTGCCTCATGTCATTTACATTTAAAAAAAGAAGTCATCAGCAGGTGTTATGTTCGTCCCCGTTTTCCAGATGAGGACGTGAATGGTGAAGTAACGTGCCCAGTCACACAGCTAGACAAGGATGCACATACAGGCACCTTGGATCCAGCGTCCACACAACTAACATACCGCTGTAACAAGCAAGGTGCTCTTCCGAGGTGGCTCACCATGTTTATCTCATTCAATCACAACCACCTTCCTTGTTGAATCTTTGTTTTCACAATAGCCCGAGCTCTAGGCTTACGTTTAGACTTTCTGAACTTCTTAGTGTACTCTACTTCAAAACGGTGCCTGACCCTTTCCTGCCTTCTCCACACCTGCCAACTGGACTGTTCTCAGTGCCAAATAGACTGGGGCCGTTTCAGGCGCTGAATAGAGTTTTATGTTCCTTGGCAATAATCTCCCCTGGCTTGAAAAGTCCTCATTAGAGGAACCCCAGGCCCAGAAAACACAGTCTCTTCACAGCTCTTTTTTTTGATGGCACTGAGGTCCCTCTCTCTGCTTCTTCTCTTTCTTTGAAGCAGGCAGCAGCCTAGGCAAACTCCTCTTACAGCAGATAAAGCTGGGACTTGGGTAAGGGCACTCTCTCATGAATCCCCTTATCACTAACTGGCTGATCACATTATATTATGGGGGACGATTGTACCCGGACATAACGGCCAATTCACTTTGCACCATGATCCAGGCAAGTTGACACATACTTTGGTGGGGCACAAATCAATCCACAGCAAATATCAAGAAGCATGATATATGTAAAATAAATCATTGTAATGCAGTGGTTCAGAGTGTACATGATGCCATCAGATAGACATGCACTCTAATCTTGACTCCATCTATATATCTGACATTAGTAAACTGATCAAACCTAAAATCTTTCATTTTCTTTGACTGTAAAATTATAACAAGAGTGCTTACCTCATTCTGGCATTGTAAGAAACAAATAATGTAGCGTATTTCAAAGAACATAAATTGGTGTATACATAACCTATCCTCAATTTTTAACTAAATCATTATCCATCATTTTGCTTTTATGACAGCAGGGAAAAAATCTACCATGCAACTCTTTTGTGCATCAGTGACATTTGTTTGACAGTAACGACTGCAGTGGTGGACAGGGAGAGCAACCCCAGCTGTGATGGTTAAGGTAATGTGTCAACTTGGCTAGGCCAACATCCTCAGTTGTTTGGCAACTATATAATGATGCCATTTACCAGGTACAGTATATGGTGATGTATTTATCCTTCGTTTTGTTTTCTGATGGGATCGTTCTCTATTATTGAATAATATTGAGATTTGCATAATGACATGGTCTTTGGAATCAAACCATGTTAATTAGTTAGGGGAGGGTGTAACAAAAAGGCAATAAGTGTGGAAAAAAAGAAGCATAACATATATTTCTTCACACACACACATGTGTATGTTAATTGTCGCCTATTGCTGTCAGATGTCATCAAATTGGTTCCGACTCATAGCGACCCTATGCGCAACAGAATGAAACACTGTGCAATCCAGTGCCATCTTCAAAATTGTTACATTTGAGCCCATTGTTGCAGCCACTGTGTCAATCCTTCTCATCAAAGATAGTCTTCTTTTCACTGCCCCTCTAATTTATCAACCATGATGTCCTTCGCCAGGGATTGATCTCTTCTGAAAACATCTTCAAAGTAGGTGATCAAGTCTGGCCACTCTTGTTTCGAAAAGGAACTCTGGCTGCACGCCTTCCAAGAGAGAGTTCTTTGTTCTTTTGGCAGTCCCTGGTACTTTCAATATTCTTCACCAACACTATAATTCAAATGCACCACCAGTATATATTTTATGACTCTTTTCAATCAGGTCTCAACAATGACAATTAATTAGAAAGAGGCAATTCTGATATCCTGTTTATATTCATATTGCTGGGACTAGCCACTTCTTAACTCCATTTATACATAAACTGTGTCTGACCATTCCAGAACTGCCTTCGGCATCACAGCACAACGGTTTGGTTTTCACTTACTGTCATAAGGGGCGCCATTCACTCTCCACTTGATTGTGGGTTGTGGTTCTCCCTCCGCCTCGCACATCAATATGCAGCTGCTCCCAGTGCTGTACACACCACTCTGAGGTCTCTTTGACCAGCGAGGAGGCTCTGGGAATAAAATGTAAAGTTTGTCCTCAGTTATCACAGCAGTTATCACTATTTCTAAAGGTGCGAAAATATTCAGGCTTGTGTTTCTATTACAAACCAGCAGGTGGCAGCAGCATTGAGTGCTTCATACTAGCCTTTGAAAAAATCATTTTACTGGGAGTTCGCCCAGCTCTTATCACAATTCATCCATCCATTGTGTCAAGTACATTTGTACACTTGTTGCTATCATCATTTTCAAACCATTTTCTTTCTACTTGAGCCCTTGGTATCAGTTCACTTTCCCCACCCCTCTCCCCACTTCCCCAACATCATGAACCATCGATAATTTACAATTTTTTCCCCATGTCTTACACTGACTGATGTCTCCCTTTACCTACTTTTCTGTTGTCCGTCCCTCTGGGGGGTGGGGTGGGTAAATGTAGATTATTGTGATTCGCCCCCCTCCCTCACCTTGCCCTTACCCTCCTGGTATTGCTACTCTCATTATTGGTCCTGAGGGGTTTATCTGTCCTGGATTCCCTGTGTTTCCAGCTCTTATCTCTACCAGTGTACATGCTCTGGTCTAGCTGGATTTGTAAGGTAGAATTGGTGTCATGATAGTGGGGAGGGGGTTTTGGGTCATGACAGTGGGGAGGAAGCATTAAAGGACTAGAACAAAGTTGTATGTTTCATTGGTGCTACACTGCACCCTGACTGGCTCATCTCTTCCTTGTGACCCTTCTGTAAGGGGATGTCCAATTGTCTACAGATGGGTTTGGGTCTCCACTCCACACTCCCCTTCATACACATTGATATATTTTCTTGTTCTGGGTCTTTGGTGCCTAATATCTGATCCCATCAACACCTCATGATCACACAGGCTGGTGTGCTTCTTCCATGTGGACTTTGCTGCTTCTCAGCTAGAAGGCCTCGTATTTATCTTCAAGCCTTTAAGACCCCAGACACTATATCTTTTGATAGCCAGGCACCATCAGCTTTCTTCACTACATTTACTTTTGCACCATTTTGTCTTCAGCGATCTTGTCAGGGAAGATGAGCATCACAGAATGCCAGGTCATTCAAACAAAGTGCTCTTGCATTGAGGGAGTACTTGAGTAGAGACTCAATGTTCATCTGCTCTCTTAATACTTAACATATAAATATATATACACAGATCAATTTCCCTATCATTATATATAAATATATACACATGTGTACATGCCTGTATGCAGAACTCTATGAATGTCCTTTGCCTCCTAGTTCTTTCCTCTATTTCCTTTTACCTCGATCTCCCTCACCATCGATTTTTAGATCACTTGTTGCTCCCTTGTCCCTGGGTTGGTTGACACCCCCCTTATATTTTTAGTAAGCTAGTTATGCAAAAAAAAAAAATATGTGTGTTAGATCTCAATGTGCATAATAAAATAAATGTACTATAAATAATTACTGACAGCCACTGTTTTTAACTGTTACACAAATACACATCTCACTTATAGAAAATCAGGGGGGAATAAACAGATGGTAAGTTTATTTAATGCTGGCTACTGATAGTTTCAGGGTGCAGCTGGCATCTACAATGACCTTTATTTAGTAAATATATTTTGAAAAATGTTTATAATGAAAATCATTTCAAATCTCAGCAAAAATTTTAAATATTTCTCAATACCAACTTCTGAGCATTTATATATCTGTATCTGTGTATCTATTTAATCTGTCTAATGTACTTGGAAAATGTTATCTCAGAAATTTTCTTTATGGAATGGATGGAAGAATAAAAGTAGCAGTTAGCTTTTCACCCTCAAAACAACAATAGAAAATCTACATTTAAATCCTTTGACTCTTTCCAGACCCTAATGTTCAACATTATAATTCTAAGTGATGTTTCAGAAGAAAATGAGAGAATTTTCTTTCAGAGCAAACATTACTGTCATGTTTTGTCACCATAAACATATTACTATGTCACAAGTGAATAAAATATTTAAATTAAAATGTGGATGGTTTGGATGATTTTATTGCAGAGAAAATTGCACACTACCTGCAGGTAGTAATTCCCATCAAGTGCTCCTTGGTTATTACCCCAAGACATTTTTGTATTTTCACTTTTTAGTTGAAAGAAGAGTCTTTAAAGGTATTGCTATTTATAAAATGAAAATGCCATCTACATTTTTTTAACACTTAAAGGAAGAAAATAAATTAGGTGAAAGAAAGTACCTATAAATTGACCTGAAGAGGCAAAAGTCTACAAATAACATTGTAAAGTTCAAGTCCAAGCAAGATAAGTACTTTTGTAATTATACCACAGGGTGTGGATTTACCTGTTAAATCTCAAATTAAACACCTGCAGTCGTCATTGGTACACTTTGTCCCCGCTCTCCAGAAAAAACAAACCAAACTCCCTGCCATTGAGTCAATGCTGCCTCAGAGCGACTCCATGTGGGTTTCTGAGACTGTAATTGTTTAGGAAGCCCAGTCTTTCTCCTGTGGAGCTGCTGGTGGTTTCGAACTGCCAACCATGCTGATCTCAACCCAACATGTAACCACTATACCATGATTTAGTTTAAAACACAATAGTCTAAAGAATAAACTGTTTACCATTTTCTGAGGTGACTTTGTGTCAACATTGTCCATAAGAGTACTTCCATTTTTTTTAAACAACCACAGTAAAATTAGCCATTTTTGAGTTTTATATAAATGTTCTATCAATGTAAAAATTATAATATTGATAAACTAAGACTACTGCTTAAAAGTAGTTTTACTAATATTGCTGGTTCTCCACTCACTTCCATGAGTTGACTCTGACTCACAGCGACCCAATAAGCAACCGGGGTTGCCTACTGCAGGTAGTTCTCAGTTTATAAAGTGGTGCCATTCCAAATACCGTAAATTGGCTTGGTACGTGTCAAATTCCTCTTTCCCCCCCAATATTTTGTCTTTCATTACCAGTATCTTTATAATTGCACAATATTTGAATAGTAAACTATAAAATAGAACATGTGTGAGAGAACATCTGAGAATGGAATCAAAATACAACATATAACTGACAGTAAGATTTATATATATATGTATTTATTTATTTGTAGATATAAATATGTATGATGTTTATATATACATATTTAAATAAGGTTTATTGTATCTAGACTCCACAGTATTTAAACTCCACTACTACATGCTTTCAGGACATGTAAAAATAATTTTTTTCTGCATTTTCATGAATATAAGAAAAACAAAGGTCTCTGCTTCTATTCCCATCCTGAACATTTCACTAATCCCCTTGTGTTTGCATTGAAGATCTCGTATTGTTAGAGCTAAGAGCAGACTTAGCTATCATTTCATCCACTCTCACTTGACAGAGGGGAAATAGTAAAGAGCTTTGGGGAAAGCATCCAGCTTGCCCTAGGTCAGCAGTAAAAGAAGTCCCCTATCTCTTTGTGACCATTCCAGGTTGCTCCTGACAGAGTCTGCAGAGTAAGCGATATGCGACTCTGGAGCCAATGTTACTTTGTTTCAAAGTCATTACTATTTTAAAACTAAACTCATTGGCACTGAGTTGATCCCACCTCATGGCAACCCCACAGAAGAGTAGAATTGCCCTCAGAGTTTACAGTTCATAATCTTCATAGGACAAGACTGCTATATCTTTTGTCACCCAAATGTTGAACTACTGTCCTGCCAAGGCTCCTAAACCTTCACTTCATGATCACCTTTCATACTCATGCACATGCTTCACCTTTCCCTTGATGTGCCCCACATTCAGGTCCCGCAGCATCCATCAACTTACTCAGCACTTGGGTTCCTCCTGGCTGCTCTTCTCTGTCCACGCTACTTCATGTAGAACCAAGTCATCGTGGTAAGTAATTTTGCATTGAATTACAATGAGCAACCCCCAAAGACTCCAGTGACAAGGCTCAGGAAACAAAGAAGGACCACATTTCACACATTTACTAATGTGTTTACTATGTTTGAAATGATGGTTCAGTGGGAAAAATCCTTCTTTCCATACAGGACGCTGGGGTTTGATTCCTAGAAACCTTGAAAAAAGCAACCATTACTGACACTGGAGGGTGTGTGTGGCCATGCTACTGAACGGATTTCATTGGCGTTTCCGGAGCTAGAGGGACTAAGGAGAAAGCAATGATTCAGTCTGAGGCTCTTCAAGGAGATGGCACAGGAATGGACAGGATTTTGCTCTACTGTGCATGTGGGGACAGACTTGTGGGCAGCTGGTAAGAAGACCATCTTTATGTTACTAAAGAAAGCTTAATAGAGTGTGAGGACATGAGCTATGGACAAGATATTCATAATGGATGAAGGATAGGCTACAGAAAAGCTGAGGCAGAAAGTAACAGATGAACTTAGACCATGCAATTCGACACTTGAAAGGTAAGATCCAGATAAGAGAATAAGAAGATTAGCTCAAGGGAGAGTAAAAAATGGTTACAACTAAGCATTTTGGACCTAAACATCATCATCAAGTCCCATCTCATGATCTAGTCCTTTGAGATTTATAGTAAGTGATGTAAATGATTTGAGATGAAACTTTACCTATTTTTCTTAAATGTGAATTATAAAAAAATAAGATGATCAATTCCTCTTATTCTACTGAAAGCTGAGAAGCAAATGTCTGAGCAATAAGAATATAATAACTGGACACCTCCTTACAGAAGGGTCTCGGGGAGGAGATGAGCCAGTCAGGGTGCAGGGTATCAACGATGAAACATACAAC